GAGCAGGGAGCCCGATGTGGGACTCGATCCCGGGACTCCAGGATCATGACCTGAGCCGCAGGCAGTCGCTTAACCAACTGAGCCACCCAGGCGCCCCCCAGGGCTGCATTCTTAACCAGCATAAGCTCTGCCTGGTGCTGGAGAGGCATGGGGAAGGTGGCACTGGACAGTCAATTCCAAAAAGCCACGTTTGATTTTGGCCTTGGTCGGTGGAGAGAAGGGGCAGAGAAAGCTGTGGGGGAGGGAGCAGCCGGAAGAAAGGCGCAGAGTTGCAAAATGGCGGAGTCAGGGCTCTGGGAGCCATCTTGGATGGTGGTGGGGACTATCCGGATACGGTGGCGCTAGCCACAGGGGGCCACCAAGTGCTTGAAACGCAGCGTGACTGAGATGTGAAATACAGGTTCAGAAGATAGGAAGAAACATGTCAACTGCCTTATTACTGACGCCTAAAATACTGGTTACGTGTTGAAATGATATTAATGTTGATATTTTGGGTCACTAAAAAGTGATTGTTTTTGAGATAAATTTCACCTGTTTCTTTTGACTTTGCAAAAATGTAGCAACTAGAAGATTTTAAATTACGTAGGTGGGTCGCATCGTATTTTTATGGGATAACAGCGTTGTTCTAGGCAATGGGGAGCCAGTATGGAGTTCTTTTTTGCTGTTCTTTGTTTCATATCTATTTATTCTGATTACTGAAGAAGTATCAGAAACATTCTTCACTATATTTCTTTGCTTCTAAGATGCAGTTCCTTCTATGACACATTGAGTCAATGCAGCTTTTTGGGAAAAAAAAAGAAATATTACAATAAATGGACACATAGATTGTAAGATCCATCCCAATGTTAGAAATGTGAAAATGTGGAAAAATATGTCACCCACAGGGATATAGAATAACATGATATCGTGCATATTTGCCCATCATTAATTTTTTTAAAAAAACCATGATACTGATGCCCTCTCCGTGCAGAGAGGCCAGTGTTTATTTAATTATGGCCTCATCCCTGGGCACCGAAGGGTCTCCAGTTCCTCAGTCCGACGCGTGACACTGCAGTGAACATCTTTGTATCTGAATCTTTGTCCTCTGGCCTGATTGTTTCCTCACGATAAATTCCTAAAGGGGGATGGCCTGGCCAAGAATATGAACATTTTTAAGATTTAAAAAAAATTATTATTCTTATCATTAGTACACTATTTTTTTAGAGCAGTTCCAGGTTTCCAGAAGAGTCGGTGGGAAAGTGCAGGACGTTCCCGTAGGCTGCCATAATTTTAAAGGTCGGATGGGTATGGAAAGATAACCCAGCTACCCTCTGACCTCTTGCCTCCAAACCTTGGAAGCAGGAAGATGACAGGACCCAGAGGGATCTCAGAAAGATGACTCTGCTGGGGAAGAGAGGGGAGGAGG